AACTTCACCCAGTTACTTACCCACGCACAAATTTGCTCACTCATCGGAAACGAAAAACGATTCCAAAAAATAGTTAATTTAAAGGCGCAGTTCAGGCAAACTAGGACACTAGGATGCCTAAGTCTTAGTGAATGGATGAGAACCAATAACATTTTGACCAAGCACAGCCCCTTCCATTCCGCGATCCATACTGCCTAGACTCCTTGGGAACCAGAACCCCTCGGAAAGCACAAAGAAAGAGTGCAAAGCGTTTTACGGGAGTGGAATGCACGATGCTAGGAAAATTATGACAGAAATCGAAGTTGAGCCAAGTTCTGAACCTGAACATAACGCTGTTGTCGAGGATTCGGGCAGCAGATCCCTCTGTAGCGATGACACTTGATTTCTTCTTCATGAAACCATTTTGTGGCGATGGCTACATTTGAATTAAGTAAAAAGGATAAAAATTTAACAAATGATGACAAGAGTGAAAAACTATTGAAAAAGAGGAGTACTTCGAATTAAAATGCTCATGGCGAACAAACAGAACATACATTTTATATGAATACATTTTATATGAGAACAATTTTAGAAAAAAAGGGAAAATTATGGGCATAAGGATGAAGTTATTCGGAGTTAAGCAGAGTCAGTCGTCGGAGCAAAGACAGTAAGAATAGAGTATGACTGGCCCTATGGGTCCCATGCTGCCATAAATCAATGCAACAATGGGTGATGGGTGCGAAGTTCACCGCCACGGGCGGTCCGTTATTATCGACCCCAGGGTGGATGGGGTCAAAGTCATAACACGAACTCGTTTGCTGGTTACGGTAAGCCCGAATCCCTAGAATACTCGGGGTTCCTATGTAAGGACACTACTCATGCATACATAAAAAATATATCCGACTACTTTTTCCTTGCTTATTGAGCTAAATAAAGTTCAAACTGTTCAACCCAATTCAACCAGCACTTCTTTACCACTGTGAATTTTACCGTTCCGTTGCTGAACCCATTAAAATCCGTGCCAAGCAATTGGTCTTGAAGCACCTGATAAGCGATTCTGTGTACACCTTGATCCAACGCATCACAACCCGAAGGAGAAAGGTGAAAGATGAGCCCTGAACTGACCAACAGACCCTGACGCTGCCCGACGTCTAACAACGCGGCTAGGTTGCTAGAAATAATGACGGTTTGACTAAGGCGGAGATGGTATAGTGGCAAGTGGTGCACTATCACACACGCATATTCCAGGGATCTAATTCCGGATAAATACTCGCCTAAGCTGACCAAGCCTTCCATTTCACCGGGATCAGTTGATTGGTACTAAACTCAGCTGGAAGGGTAGAACCACTGACTCGCACATCGGTCGGCCACGCAAGTAATTGCATAGGCTGCACACTCATTCAAAACCGCATTTACGATCCTGAATAAAAGTCGAATGCGAGGCACATCCCAAAAACTGGATTTATTGGCGCCAAAGACTTCATCCTTTGTCCTTTTATGAGTATACATTGACTTCCGAAGAAAAATCAATGCAGTTGATGGGCTCCTAGACGGATCTGGTCGATTCAGGTACCTTAACTACGAGTAAAACGGAAATGTAAATTCGAATTAAAAACTCTGTTCGTACCGTAATCCAGCTGTGGCCTCTGACTTCAGCAAGTTGTCGTCCGAAACCCCGTCTGAATCGCTATCCCCCCGTTTGCGGATGCCTCCCATACGTATGTGAGGAATCGAGGGTTTGGATGTATAGGTAGGGTTATGCCGTGAAAATAATTATTTTGTCTGTGAATTACGTGTCCACTGCGTTTTATCGTAAGAATACTGTACAAAAAAGGTTCCCTCTGGTTTTATACTTCCGCAAAAGTTCGTCGTCTATCAGTTGCTACAATAGCTAGTTGTCTTGGGTGATCTTCGACGGGATTCTTACAATTCTAATTTTTTTACTCGGTGGTATAAGATGACTTGTGTAGTTACCGAATCTCCGCTCGAACCTCGCCGGGCATGGTGCAGTTGAAACGAAATGGCCGCTCCGCGACAAGAGCGACGTCGCGCGCGAGGGAATGTAGCAGAGTGAGGTCGATGCAGCGCAGCGAGAAAGGAACACAAAAACAAAACACGCAACACTAGATCCACGCCGAAACAATAATCGCATATCGATAGAGCTGTATGAAGAGCGCTGGCACTGCAATACGAAGCAACTAGTTCGCGGCTGCCGCACGCTGCAAATCGACCACACAAAACCGATTCAACCGCCCATCTCCCAATATCTCCTCGATCATTCTTTGCACTGTGAACTCATCAGTGTCACACGTTCCCTTTCATTCAATCCACAATCCCCCACGACGCCGAAGACCTATTCGATAATTTTTTTTTGAACACTGAAATATCACAGATATTCTGACCGTCACTACAGTTTACCAACAAATATGCTGACCGTCAATACAGTTTATTAAAACCCATCCACGTCTTTCAAGGAAGATATCGATGTTGCAATGAAAACATACAACGTTGGAACCCAATGAGAGGAGGAGGAGTAAGAGCCCATTTGCCATTCATCATTTATGGGGAGCGAGAGAGGGAGGCACTGACGATAAAACACACACACACGCTCCAACCGTTTATAGTAGTAGCGTTAAAAGGAATTACTAAGGAAGATCACAGATCGGTTAGTGGTCGATGAGAGAATCGATCGAATCAATGGTTCAAATCACAAACGAAAAATCAAGTCATGGTCAAAACGAACGTTAGTTCTACCGCTACAATATATGGGATAAACGGTTTAGTCGTCGTCTATTTACGGGGGACAAGACCGAATTGTTGCGGTCGAAGTAAGCCATGACGAACTGCGGCCATGACGAACTTGGGTGGGTGGACAGTGGAGGCGGTCGTTTGGCGCGATGGGCGGGCCCGCGCCGCCCATTTGAGGCGGTTCGCGGGGTGGGCAACTCGTTCACATCGGGCAACCCTCTGTCCGTCCTCTCCAGCTGAAAGAAGCGCGATCAATGACGCCGCTACTATTAGACGCCGAATAGCGGATCAGCTTGTATTCTGCCTACACTCATCATCCATTTGCGCTTTTGCGTGATTTTTATTGCTTCTTTCCCCTTCCTTCATGGATACTGTCCAAATATGTTAGGGAGCCGGGACTCGTAAGCCCGCTGCCTGCGACCGGATAACTCGCCAGCGATGCCCCTGCGTCTCTGCCTACCTCCTAAACAGACTGATAGGCTTAA